CTCCAAATCAATACCATACCAAAAAATTGGTATACCGAAAAATTGGTATACCAAAAATTCAACATGATAGATATACATATCGTACTGTACCATACCGATATTACGGTATATCAAAATTTTTGGTATATGCTGATATACTGAATATCAAAGTATCAAAATTTTATATGATATCATTGGTATATACCGAAATACCGAAATGTTTTTGGTATTTTGGTATATACCAAATATTTTAATTTACATACCGTTATTGTACTGAAAAAATTTGGTACGGTATGGTACCGTACCAAATTGTGGTATACCAAAAATTTCAGCATTTTTTTGGTATGATATCTACGGTATTTTGATATTTTGGTATTTTTTCCCACCCCACTCACAATCGATCAAAATGTTATTATGGAAGGATATAACATTTGTATGGAAAAATCAATGTATCTATTTGAGCTAATGTATGATGCTAGCGACGCTGTAGTTGGAGTTTTGCTTGGACAAAAGATCAACCAGAAGCACCATGTGATTCATTCTCCTAGAAAATCTTAGATGGTGCTCAATGCAACTGCACCACCACAAAGAAATAATTGCTCGTTATTGTCTTTGCCTTCGAAAAATTCAGCTTTATCTAGTGAGATCAAAGACAATCGTATACACAAACCATGTCACACTAAGATATCTTATGGACAAAAATGATTCCAAGCCATGACTGATTAGATGGATTCTCCTATTGAAAGAATTTTATATTGAGATAAGGAGAAAAAAAAGGTGATAACCCAATGGTCAATCACCTTAGTAGGTTGTCATCGTATTCGCTACCTTCAGCTATCAACGAATATTTTCATATTGAGAAGTTGTATGCCATGCTTGTTACCTCTCCATGGTTTTTGGAAAATCACCAACTATCTCGTGACGGACTTATTCCTTCTTATTTGAATCACAATGCATGCAAAACACTTTTTAGCCTCGTCTGTCACTACTTCTGGGAAAAGCCTTATCTTTTTTTTTTTTTTTTTTACTTTTATTTTGGTGTGGATAGAATTATTCGGCGCTACTTATCCAATTTTGAGATACCGTATATTCTCTATAAATTCCACAGCTCTTCCATAGGTGGCCATTTCTCTGGTCATTGCACGTTAGCAAAGGCTACAATCAAGATTTATTGGACAATATTACATCAGGATGCAAAAAACTATGTTAAACAATGTGACACATGCCATCATCTTGGATCTATTTCCAAGCGTGATGAGATGGCAAAAAAAGAATCCTGAAATTAGTTTTGTTTAACATATGTGGGATCGATTTTATGGGACCATTCCACAACTTATATGGGAACTCATACATTCAGGTCTTAATGGACTATGTCAACAAATGGTTCGTGGCAATCACCCTTCCCGTTAACGACGCGACTTAGATAACCAAGCTTATTGAAAAGCACATATTCTCATATTTTGGTATCCCCATGACTTCTATTATCGATGAACACACCCACTTTGTTAAGAAGAAATTCGCCCCACTTCTTGTGAAATATAATATTCGCCACAACATTGTTACACCTTATCACCCACAATCTAATGGCCAAGTTAAATTAAGCAACAGTGAACTGAAGCATATTTTGCATACTACTGTGAATAAAAATATGAAAGATTGGGCTTTGACACTGGATGACGCATTATGAGCCTATCGCACTGCATTCAAAATTCCAATTGGGATGTAGTTATTTTGCTTAGTCTTTGGCAAGTCCTACCACTTGCTCCGGAACTGGTGCACAAAGTCTACTGGGCCATTCAATTTCTAAACTTTAATATCCTTCCAACGCAGGAAAAGTGAAAAAAAAAAAATTATGATAGATTTGGATGTGTTTTACTTCCTTGCCTATGAAAACTCAAGGATTTATAAGGAGCGAGCTCGTTACTATCATGATAAGATGATTTGGCTAAAGCAATTCAATGAAGGAGACAAAGTTTTAATCTACAACTCCAGGCTTCACTTATTCCCAAAGTTTTAATCGTGATTGGCTAGGCCATAGATTGTCAAAAAAGTGTTGCAAAGTGGAGTAGTGCAAATTTACAACCCAAATTCTTCAAATGACCATGATGGATTTCTTGTCAATGAAGCGCGTTTAAAGAGCTATATTCAGGGATTCTCCATGCTTTGTTGATGCTTGAAAATTGGCTTTTGGTTATGGATATAGTATGCAAAATTCTGAGTGTCTGTCAGTGTGTCGTGTTGTAGCCCAAAATTTTTTCATCAAATAATAGATTTTTTTCATATTAATCGGTAAGTGCCAAGTTAAACTCATGGCATGAGTGTAAGGGAAAATTTGAGTGAGGATAAGTGCAAGTCTATGACTTAAGTCTTGAATTGAAGATGCATTGAATGTCATTCTATACTACTGAAATTAAATGCGAGCGTATAATTAAAAAAAAAAAAAAATGGGTGGGGTGTGGGAAAAGTGTATTGCAGGATTGGGAGTAAGGTGGATACGACTGTGTTGATGTAAGGCTTTGCTCTGTGAATGAAACTGATTTAATTACTTAATGAAATTATACTTAATTAAGAGTGAGAAAAGGAAAAGAAGTGCCCCCCAGATGGATGATGGTGAATGAGATATATATACTTCGTGCGTTAAAGGGTTGTGTGTGGATGATCACTAGAGTTATTTAATCACTAATGTACGTCGTGATTCTAAGACTATTCTAGCCTCTCGGTACTCTAGAAAGAAAAACTAGTCATTGATTATTAAGGTGGTGATCCGTTTCTAAATTCATAGTTCACTACCCTCAGCAAGCTCAACCATCCTGGCCTTGAATTTAAATTCGAGAGGTGATTGTAGTAACAGATTGACAATGATTTCTCAACTAGAATCTCCAAGCCTGTTGTGCGGCGGAATTCAGTAATTAAATGTCCATGTGCCAAGGCGACCATGAATGAATCCATGTGAGCAGCGATGTCATGGTTGATTAACTCGCCGATATTTTTTTAACTGTTTGCATAAGATTTTGGCCACTACAAACAAATTTTTCGCATCCATGTCAGTAATATGCATGGTGCAGTAGATTCTTATGGCAACCCATTTTAAAAATGTCATATATTCATAATTTATAGACTTCCACGCTAACATATTTTTACTGCCTACAATAGGGTTGTCCGTGAACACTAAAAATTATCTTCTCAGGCGGTTATCAATCGCATTGTCCAAGGATATGCCTCCGACAAAAACACTATCCATATATTTCTTGGTATGGAGGTTTGCATAGAATCCTATGACAATTGCAACATTCACATACTCCACCGGATTCTCGAGCAGTTGTAGCAGTTCCTTTTCAGACACCCATCGAATGAGCTCATCACTAAAATTTGGCCAATCGAATCCTTTCTCAACAATATGGCTCTTTGCCTTGAGTAACTCGTGTTGGACAAAAACAGCCATGTTCACAAATCGCATTTGTTCAAACGCATTACCCTTTGTTGCAAGTTTTGCAACCTTTTTTGTATCGCTTTTGTTGAGTTCACCTTTCTTTGTTGCCATACTCACTTCTTTGTGAATATTCAGTTTCTCTTTTTCCATCCCAAAGTCGTGCTTTTCTTCCAACTCAAATTCTGATCACATGCGAGTGAATTGCTCTTCTCTATAATTGACTAAGGTGTCTGGTGACAAATCCCATTTCGCAACCAGAATAAGATATCCCTCAATCTCCACTCAAGGGTACTAATCATCAGAGAATCTACTCTTCCTTGCACAATATATATCACTTGCAAGCCTCTCTAGCGCTGACCAATTTTGAGTCGCAACAAAGATGGAACATCTATAATACGCAATTGGTGGCAAGCACTCAAGTAGACCAACACCAAATGGGTGATCGAACCTCTTCTTCTCTGCAAGGTTAGTTAGCTTCACGACCTTCCTTTCGAAGGTTGAATCTAGCTCCGCAAACTCCTTCTGATATTATTTTCTTCTCTCTTCCGCAATGATGGCAACCGCTCTTCTAAGGTTGTGAATGTCAGATCATACATTTGCAAACACCAGAGTTGGTAATTCATGCAAGTAGCTTCGTTTCATTTGGATCATTTTTTCAATTATCAAAAATTCTGGTGTACGCACCCCTGCAAAGTAATTGTGATATAATGTCTCAATATTATGAATCGATCCTAAAAGAAAGGCACTAAAATCGTAGGGTTTCGAAAGAGGAGTTAGGTCAAAATATTTGGTTTTCAATTTCTTAGGATACCAAAGCTCGCCTCATTAAACACAAAGAACAAATTAAATAGGGTCTCCGCAGTACTGAGGGTAGTTAGCAAGTTCTAAAAGTGATCCTACAAGAACTTTAAGATTGACAAATATGGGAATCAAAATTCCTTCCAAATTTACTGAAGTTCCTTATGACAAAACAAATAAACCCTAAGTGGTTTGAGTTATAAAAGAATAGTACTAATCAGTTAACACATACTCATAACAGAGAGTTTCAAGATATTTGTTTCAGTTAATGCGAAAACTCCTAAGGTCAAATGTTGGAAGTCTAATACAAATATGATCCATGAAAATTGAGAGGTGTGTACCTTGATTTACGGAAACAACTTGCAATTTTTCGGATGGGTACAGAGGAATAACTCGATTTTGGAAAATTTTGAAGTTTTGTGAGATGTACTAAAAAAGTTTTAGAGAGAAGTTGAAAGTGTTTTGATATCTTGGGAAGTGGAGGGAAACTGAATGGTGTAGGATTTTAAGGTGCACGGAAGTGTTTCCAGAATTTCGAAACATTAGAGGGGTCAAAATATAATTTTCAAAAATTTTGTTCAAATGAAATGCAATCGCAAAGAGCATCCAACAACTTCATATTTCATTCTCCCAAAAAAGACTGAGAGAAACAAACATACCCTAAAAAAATTTGATAATGAAATGAAACAAATTAAATTGAGAATAAATTTGAACAATCCAATGGTTAAGAATCAGAAAGATTCAAAATTAAAATTCCACGAAACACTTGCAATAAGAAAATTTCTTCATAATGTTGGAGCATCCTGCAACTTCATATTTCATTATCCAAAAATACCACAGCAAAGCGAAACAAACATGAGAAAATATTCCGATGCTAAAATGAATTCAATTGAAAATACACAATCCAATGGCTAAGAATCATAACTGAAAGGAATCACTCTTCTGCAAGCCTGAAAGGCCAAAAAAACAAGTCTTCATTTGGTCTCAAAATTCAAGATCAGGCCAAACATTTTCGATACTGCACCACCATTATTGCTCTGGTATTCGAAAGTCAAAGGCGACGTTCTTTCAAAGCCTGGAGATTGGATAACCCACAATAAACGAAATGCAATTAAAATTTATCAAAAATGAAGAGAAACTAAATCGATTGGGTTAGCCTCATCCCCACTGCCATTCTCCCCAAAAGAAACCCAATAATTGCTCGATGAATAACTTCCATGAAAAGCAGAGATTGCAGAAAGCCTGAAACAATACATTTAAATGAGAAGTCACAAAAAATTCCTCCCAAAAATGAAAATGCGCCATTAACGGACTTGGTTTTGGGAAGTAACCTTCACCAATGCGCGCACAAGAAGAGGAAGACCAGAATCGGCCGCAGCGGTGGTTTAACCATGGTTGATTTGACTGCATGGAATGGGATTCCAAAACAGGTTTCTACTGTTGGACTCTGCATTTTTCATATTTTTCATTTTACGAAAAAAAATAAATATCCAATCATATATTTTGTTTTAATAAATACAAACCAAAATTTTTACAAATCCAAGCATACCCTTAATTAACTGAAAAATGATAGAAAGAGAGGCAAAATAGATATATTATGCGACTATTCCGTACAATTTATCTGCTAAAGTGGCATGTCCTTAAATTGTTAAAACTTCAAGGGTTGAGACAGACAATTTAGATGAGCATCCGTACAACTCCATATATATTAGAGAAATCCAATCAGAAACCAAACACAGGGTTAGTCTGTTCTTTGTTTATATTCATTGATTTCATAGAAATTCTCCCCATCCATATTCACCCAAACTAGTCGATTTAACTAATTAATTAGTTGATTATTAAGGTGGATATCAAGAAGCAACTAACTAACTAAGCAGACAGACAGACAGACATGCATTAGAGCATACCAACATATCCATCATCGCATGCATATCCATTTCAGAGAAAGGCTTCTTCAACTACCTATAACTAACTCTACCAATTCTTTGAGGTGGCCACACAATATGAGTAACTCGTCCGCATATCAGCCCCATAGGAATTGGGCCAAGTGATGTTGAGTCTAAGCTACAAGCATCTTCTCCAACAACCCAACAATGCCCCTCAGGAATCCTTACGGTTTCGAACGAAGGGAGATCGATCCAATCACCTGGTAGGGCAGCAATTCTCTTGATGTATTTCTCCTTATAATTCGTTGGTGAACTGCATAAGAGGAGAAGGATGTGACTTTTGATTCATTACATCAACATCTCTATCTACCTATATCCCATCCATCCCCCAACTTATTATTCATAAACGTTGGCATTTAGGTGGTAGAATAGAATATAGCATCAGTGGGCATTTAGGTGGTAGAATAGAATATAGCATCAGTGGGCATTTTAGTTTATGGGTAGAAGAAGAAAAAAACACAGACGACAATAGCCATAAAGATAAGATAAAAGAACCAGTCATCCACCAGTTAAGACTTGAGTTGAGAGGTAAGGAGTTCATAGGGATGGACTAAGCTAAGCTAAGCCAAGCTTAAGCACAAATAGTGACTGACTACTCACATAAAGGAAAGGAACCGAAATCTAATCTTGAATTGATTTAAGGATTTGTGGACAAAATGTTTTACCAAAAAACCACAATGTCTCCTCGTGAAAATTTGTACTTTGTGAGGCAGAATTTTTCAACTAATACACGGTCATCTGCATCCAGAAATACAATGAATGAGAACAGCAAGCCTCAGTCCTGTGCTATATATAATAACATAAATTGGATGGATGCATGCATATATATATATATATATATATATCGATAAAAGATCTCTCACCTAATTCAAACTGAGAAGAGTTTTTACTGTGTGGATTCAAAGTAGGAAACATGGATGACCCACGAACAGCCGTAACACAGCCGTATCGATCAGATATTGTAAGGCATATTAGACCTGCAGTCAGAGATTGCTTGGCTAAACCCCACAAGAAACTTTGAGAAGCCATATATATATATATATATATATATGTATGATTGAAGTTAGCAGGGATCTAAAGCCCGTCACTGGAGTGGCTATTAATTAATAATAGTAACTCAAGGCACGCAGGCACGCAGGTAAGGTAAGAACTGCAAGCCTCGATCAATCAATCTTGTACAAACAAGGTCAGGTCTCATGTATGCCAGCCAGCCCAGAGGCAAAGTTATGCCTAACAACAATCACCTCCGAGCATTGTATTGTATTGTACTGTAAGGAGCACATAATACCAATAGATATTCATACATCTAATCTCAATCATTGCCAGCCACTGCGGCAATCCACATCTACCTCATACAAATAGCCCAACACCTAAAACCTGCAGAGTGGGCAACAAAATCGACATCATCAACAGTTGCAGCTCAATCAAGATTCAACCCCAATGCCCACAGCTATGGACATGGACGTGTGGTGATGTGAGGTGACCTCGCCACTGTCATGAAATGAATCGTGAAATGAATCGTGTGCGAGTTGATCTAGTATTGTTTATATTATTTTTAATAAAATAAAATACTATAAATATATAAAAGCCAAACTTATGGCAACAACATGAATGATAAATGTAGAAGAGGAATGAATGATCTACCACCCAACCCGATGATGAAGTGGGAACATTGGCTTGCTGGCTGCCTAGTTATATTCCATTCCATTCCATTCCATATAGCTGGTCATGGGAGGTGTAGAGAAACTCTCCAAAAATCCTCAACACCACATTACCAGCAAATAATCAAGTACCAATAAACAAACAAATCAACATCAACCAAAAAAAATCCACACAACACTATCTATAATCTCCACAAAACTACCTATAAATCAGAATTCCAAAACCAAACCAGTCCACAAAACAACTGGAATATAAACCCACTGAACCCAACCGATGAAAAACAAATAAATTAATTTCAATACGAACGAGTAAGAACATATTGTAACGCACACGGAAACACTACCAGAGCGCCGCCGTTGTGACCCGGAATGAAGAAACTACTTGTAGAGGCTCCGCTACGTAAACATAAACAGCCAAGGAGAAATGTTCCTTGTCTGATTCGGAGCGACGTATTGGCAAGACACCGTAAAAATTCGAGCTGCGAATGAGCGAAAAACGCCAAACCGGCGCTCGCCTATTTATAGGGGAAACATGACTTTGGGGGAGAATAAGAATTAGGGTTTTCGTGGAAACAAAACATAAAAAAAATGATATTGTTGCTGCCCAGGATCGAACTGGGGGCCTTCAGTGTGTAAAACTGACGTGATAACCACTACACCACAGCAACATACAATTTCGAATGCAATTAAGATTAAACTAATTCAATAAATACTTGTGTAGTGTTTGTGTTTCTTGGGTTTATAGATTTAACAACATGATTCTTGCGTTTTAAAGCGCACATGAAATCTTATGTAAAAATCTTTAATAAATGATTAATCATTAAGTCTCTGTTAATCTTGTATATAATTTATTCTCAACATAATCAAAGAATACGCATAACACACTCTGTTGATACATTATTTATTATAGTATGAATTTTATGTATTATATTAGCTTAATACTTAGGGGAATTACTAAACAAATAACCTTCAACAATGTTATAACTATGGGTGTCAAAATCAAATTCCACTAAAAAAAATCCAATCTATTTTATGTGAAATTTTTCAGGTTTGGATTTGGGTATTTTGGATTTGCAAAAGATCAGATAGATTCAAACTTAAAATAAAAAGACAAATTGTTTTGTATTCGGGTCAGGTTTCGGGTTGATATGATAACTCGAAATACAAAATCAAGACAGGTTTCGAGTTTCAGATTAACTTAAAATTATTTTTTATTATTATTTTTAATTTATAATATTTATATTATATTGAATATAAAAGATATTAAATAAAATAAATTAAAAATGGATATCATTAGGTAAATTTAAATTTTTTTAAGTTTTCGGATCCTGTTTTGTATTAGGTTCGGGTCGGGTTTATTCGGATTTTGAATGATCTGAAACTAAATCAAATCAATTTAAACCCGACTCGAAAAAAAATTGTGTTGTGTTTGAGTCAAATGTTTTGTGTTAAATTTTCGATTCGGATTGACAAATTTTTTGTTACACCCATATCTCAATCCGACGCATACACAACCCAAAAATATGAATTGACAACTCTAGTTACAACATAGATTATGCATATGTAAGCTGCACATTATTATTATTATTATTATTATTATTATTATTATTATTATTATTATTATTATTATTAGAGTATTCTAAGTGCTTTTAAGTAGTTGAGATTGCAAGAAACTATCAAATCCAAGAATAATAAACAAAAATTACTGTACTTTTAACTCTTGAAATTCTTTACCTTTAGAGAATGAGTTTAAATTTGAATGAATGTAGTTTGAACTCCAATTAACCTTTTATAGATCACACACTCTTTAATACTTTGAATACAAAAAGTATTCTTTTACAGTTTGTTATGTCCTACTATTCATGGTTGTTTTTTAATTATTATTATGGTAAATTATACTTCCTCCGTCCCATGTTTTTTGAAGTTTTATAATAAATTAAAAAATAATAGTATTTTATTTATTAGTGAAAACGTGTAAGAGTTTTTAACATTTTTTTTTAACTTTATGTATAAAGTAATTGTACGTGTAATTATATGTTTCTAATTTATAAAAATTAAGAGTATTTTGGTATTAGTATATGATTATTTTTTGTAAAATAGAAAAAATATATTTAAAGTGGGACAAACGAAAATAGTAAAAAGTGTACTTTAAATTGAGACAGTGAGAGTATTATATTTTCCATCCTTATCATTTATGTGTTGATTTGACACTATCAATATACTTAATAAAAATAGATAATGCATATTTGATAGCACATGATAATACAATATCTTATACATGTTTTAACAACATATAATATAATTTCATATAGTATAGTATATTACTGATTTCAATATAATAGATATATTTATACGAAACGGTACACATATAAACATTCACACAACTTGTTTCTATATAGCACAACATTATGTTGTGCTATATAAGACATTCATTATCTACTTGAGTATATGTGTTCACAGATCAAGTCAGTATGGTGTTAATTTGATCCAATATTCAGCATCTTAACCGTCACTATTTTCTATACTTATTGAAAATTTATTATATCCGTAATAGTTTAAAATCTATCTAAGACATACATATGTTCTATAACACTACACATAATGCTCTGTTGGTTAAAATTTAGCAGCACAAATTAAAAATAATCTACTTGTGGTTTGAAAAGTTCGCATCATTCTCCTATGTGATTTAGAAATTTTATGGGGCTTCCTCGTGTATTAAAAGATTACAAAAAATCCAGTAAAAATTGAATGAGACACTTTCATGTTTTAAAAAATATTACACACAAACCCCTAAAAAGAAATTTTAAATAATATTTTTAAAACACGAGGGAGTTTCACGTAATTTCGAAAATATGAAGAAGAATGGAGCAAATTTTACAAAAATACAAATGGGTTGTTGGATAATCGATTATTTAATTGATGAAATTTAATTTTAAAAAATTAAATTCAGAATTTATGCAACCGATTAATCGGTAAGTGAAAATGCGACGGGCCAATGAACCAAATTATTTAGATTAATTTGGATGAAATAAATATATGTTATGGATATGCGGCTTAGTTAATATTTTGACTATTTTGTTTGTCCTGAGATAAACTAAATTGCACAGCCCTAAGTTGAACTCGGGTATATAGCACAAGTCGCAAAACTATTTGGATATAATTTTATCTAGTGGATAGATTTATTATAACCTTAATGGGAATGTTTGAAATTAGCGTAAATTATGACTATCTCAAATGGAATGTTTGAAATTAACGTAAATTATGACTATCTCAAATGAAAGGTTTGAAATTAGCGTAAATTATGACTTTTTATTAATTATTATATTTATATTTATAAGGCTCATTGGTTAATAAATGAGCTTTCGAGTGCGGTGTGGCGGTGCTACTCCAACTTGAGCCGACCGAGGTATTACAATTAGTTGGATTTGAGTACATTCATAGCACGCATTGCAATTTATATATTGTTTGTACTTATGTGTATTGGTTATGCTAGATGATTATTTAAGTAGGTTGAATCTTAATGGGTTTAGTCTCGTTAGAAGATGCTCCCTAAACGTGTTCATCATCCTTTTAGGGTACCCGAGTCCGATGAAGAAGTTGAGAGTAGGCAATACCAAAATTCTGAGCCTTTAGTTCAGGAGCCCATTCAACATTTAAACCAAAAATTTGAGTTTTTTCATTAGTTTATGGGACAGTTTGCTCAGCAGCACCGGAGTGTCATGGATAAAGTGTTATACTATAGTTCTCTGGCTTTTACTAGTCAGTCAGACACGGATATTATAGGAAAATGGATGGATTGATTGGAGATGATATTGGAGGTGGTGAGATGCCTAAAGGGAGAGAAGACTATGATTGTCATGTATTACTTAGAAGGGTTAGCCAAAAGGTGGTGGAATAATAAGAAAGTTTTCGAGAACAACTTGGTTGGATTACTGTGGGAGACCTTTAAGGGGAAGATAAAGATGCGTTTTTATCCCCTACACCTTCAGAGAGCGAATGAGGGTTAGTTTAGTGCTTTGATGCAGGGTAGTATGACAATGGAGGGGTATTTCATACATTTTTATGAATTGCTACCTATGCTCCGGATTTGGCGGCAAGTGATCTTTGTAAGTTGACAAAATTTATTAGTAGGATGAATCGGGACCTTCAGCGGTTCTTAGCCGACTTTAGTGTGGCATGAAGAAGGGAGTGCCTTTCCATTGGGATGAAGCATGCAAGAAGGCATTCCAAAGTATCAAAGACTACTTGACAAAGCCACCAGTGCTGACAGCCCCAATTCCTGGACATCCGTTGACGCTTTACATCGCTGCACAAGAACGTTCAGTTGGAGCCTTGTTAGCACAGGAAGCCAATAAAGGGAAAGAAAATGCCCTCTACTACCTCAGTAGAATGATGACACCAAATGAACTAAATTATTCACCGGTGGAAAAGATATGCTTGGCGCTCATCTTCGCCATAAAAAAGTTGAAGTATTACTTCCAAGCGCACACTATCCGGTTGGTGTCCAAAGCAAATCCCTTGAAATATGTCATGTCAAAGCCTGTCCTTTCTGATCGACTCGCGAGGTGGTACCTGTAGCTGCAACAATTCGAAATCATTTATGTACCACAGAAAGCTGTAAAAGGACAAATATTGGCTGACTTCCTTGTTGATCATCCCATCCCCGCTGAGTGGGAGTTGTCTGACGACTTCCTTGATGAAGACGTGCTTTTTCTCGAAATCACCCCACCATGGAAAATGTATTTTGATGGCTCATCACACAAAAATAGAGCTGGAGCCGGAATAATATTTGTCACATCACAAGGAGAAGTCCTTCCATACTCTTTTGCCTTAAAAGAAGAGTGTTCAAATAATGTGGCTGAGTATCAAGCACTCATCCTCGGCCTAAAAATGGCGGTAGATATCAAGCAACGCCAACTTCAATATACGGGGATTCCAAGCTGGTTGTAAATCAAATCACTGGAGAGTTTGAAGTGAAGAAACCAGAACTAATGCCTTACTTAAAGTATGCTAAGGCACTCATTGAGTTGCTCGGGGATGTCTCTATTGAATATGTCCCAAGGAAAGAGAATGGGCAAGCTGACGCTCTGGCTAAATTGGCATCGATTCTATCCATCCTGGATCAACAGGTGTATATTCCGATACGCAAAGTTTGGGTGGATTCCTGCAAGTATGAAGAAGAAGAATGTGTTGAAAAATAAGTAAATCACCTCATCGAGGTGTTTGAAATTGAAGAAGAAGAAGAAGATTGGCGGCAACCAATATTAGATTTCTTAAAATATGCAAGCTCCCGAGTGACCCGCGCAGACGAGCAGATATCCGAAGAAGAGCTGCACGCGACGCTTACTTCAACGGCATACTCTATCGTCGGTCGTTCGACAACATGTTCCTTCGATGCCTCGGCAATCATCAAGCCAAACAAGCTATGGAGGAAACTCATGCCGGAATCTGTAGAGCTCATCAAGTTGGCCCAAAGTTACACTTCCGAATAAAGAGGATGGGGTATTATTGGCCAACCATGGTTAAAGACTGTATAGAGTT